CTACATAATTATTAATTGATATTTATTTAAAAAAAAAAAAAGAAAAAGAAAAAGCAATTGACTAAACCATGAAATTTTTTACCATTGCACGGACTCCCAAAATCTAAACTCATCTTCTTTAACTTTAACTGATCAGTAATGGAATACAAAGACATTGTATTCCACAACAGCATCCCCTGTTTTAAAATCGAACGTGTGAGTCCTTGCCTGAGCGTACCCATGTGCAAACCGGAAAAGCCCGCTGCCGCCGACGACTGGCATCTCCCTCACGGTGGAAAAAACCGCGTTCCTCCCCAAAATGCTAAGACTGCTGCCGTTATACTTTCCTTCCATGAACGCAAAATTAACCACCATTAACAAAGCAGTTTCGGTCTGATCTGCAGATGCGTAGATTCCCTGCGCTCTTCCCACGAGTTTGGACGTTACGTTGGGGCCAACGGTGAGAGGGTCGTCCATCATCGCAACCCCACCGAAAAGAGTGGCGGAGCGGTTAGTCATGGCGGCCTTGGCGACTTGGACGACGGTAGGGCTACGGCCGCTGACGATGTCGTGGAAGTAAAAGTGAAGGTGGCTGAGTTTCTGTCGCTTCAGTCCTAGTGTTGCCGGTGATACGTGTCGGGAGAAGCGGTGGGGTTTTGCGGTGGCGGGGCCGGAGAAGATGATGGTGAAGAGGAGAATGGCGGAGATGATGCTGGAGAGGGTTTTAGCCATGGTTGGGACTTGGGAGGAGAGAGGAGTGTCTTCTGCACGGAGATAGATTCGAAGTGAGGAAGAAAGGAAGGGATAAATTTAGGAGAAGGTGCTGTTCTGACAACTCAAGCTACATAATTATTAATTGATATTTATTTAAAAAAATATTTTATGATTTAAAATTTATCAAATTACATAATTATAATTATTTGATGGGATAATCTTTGGCTATGACCTATGACCGTCAAATAATGACAATTAATAAATATGTTAGTTATCTTTTAATAAAATAATTAATTTAAAATTAAATTTAAAAATTTTTTAAATTAAATTAAAAGTTTGTTTAGTTTAAGGATTAATTTAGAAATTCATATAATAATTAAGGATGAAATTGAGAGTTTAACTTTTAAATTATAAAATAAAATATTTATCTTTAGAATTTCTTGCAAAAGTTGCCATCAAGGCATCAACCTCTAAATCTACTTAATTTGGTTCCCGATCATATGTATATTTCTTGCAGCAAATGAGACCTTCGGGTTAACTGATTAAGTATTTATTAGATGTTGAAACTTTATATTCAAGATTGTAT